GACGCCGAGTCCCCGTGGCGTTGCCTTCTGAATCTTTTGCGTTAGTAACATCCATCGGGGATACTGCCGTGGGCTTCGTCTCGAAGCTGCCAAGGTTGTGAAAAATATTCCCCGGAATTCATTACCCCGCCTTGGCCTGACCCACTTGGGGGTTGGGGGTGGAGATTCCATTGTCGGGTCCAGCTCGGGGATACTCAGGAGGCCCTGATTTTTGCTTATATAACCGAGGTGTTTTCTGAGTATCCCGACGGGGTTCGGGATAGAACCATCCGCTCGACAGTCATTTTTCTTGAAGATGGCTACATATATGTACTCACTGATACCAGTATACCATATATTTAAGAAGGAATATTGGTATAGATTAATAATGTATATCAGAACCTAGATTTACCGAAGCATGAATAAGCCTGTACTCCGGAAAGACAATAAATACAGGAGCAGCACCGTAAGCGATGCTGATAGTATAACGGCTTGATCAGCCCGATGCAATACCGCCGTAGTTGGCAGGTCACCATCTGCACATCATAAGACTGCACGTCCACCAGCTGCCGTGACAAACCAACCAATTCCGAGGGTCCCATCTTCGACGGTGGTATTAGAGACAAAGTTGCGGGTTGGTTCTCGAGGCGAGGGCCACTGGCCTCGAAGCGAATGATTATACCCGACCAACATTGGCCGCTCACCATTCGGCAACAGGAGGTTTGTGCAAAGTCGCCAAATTTCCCTTCGTTGGTTCACTGGCACTGTCGGATCTGAGTGATCCATGATTTCTTCTCGATGCCGAACATCCACGATCCAGTAGTGGCATAATACATTGATTACCGGGGCACGCGATGGATATAAAATGATGCCCTGGGTATAAGAATCGGCATTCCGCTCGATTTTGTCCGCTAGCCTTTTGGATTTTCTAATAACGAAGTGCTATCCTCAAACAGTCAATCTTAATCTCGCAGTCAGTCGAACTTTACGCCATGGCACCTTCGCTGGAACACCTCGAGAAGCCCGCACATTACCTGCCGGTAAAGGCAGTCTCAGCGATCGGCAATGGGGATGCTGATGGACTCAGATTCGCGAGCGCAGAGAAGCATGAGCGGGTGATGAATGTCTTCCGAGCTTTCATCGCGGATCTATGCCAACAGTACGGCGAAGGCCATGCTGGGTAAGTCAATACCCTCTTCGGGAATCCCCTTGTTTGCGGTGCAGCGCTAAGTGGAACTCGTCGTAGATCTCCGATGGGTATGGCTGCGATCGGTATTTCCCTATATAAATATGTCATGGAGTACTCTCCAAATAATTGCAACTACTTCAACCGGGACCGCTTCGTTCTTTCAAATGGTATGTCCTCTACGCCCCTCCGGTTGTACGCAGAAGCAAAACCACTTGTAACTTAACTGATATCATAATAGGCCACGCCTGCTTGTGGCAGTATCTCTTTATGCATCTTGTGGGCGTCAAGAGCATGACACTCGAACAGCTCAAGTCTTACCACTCATCCAAGCTCGACTCCGTCTGTCCCGGCCACCCTGAAATCGAAAATGAGGGCATAGAGGTTACAACTGGACCCCTTGGCCAGGGTCTAGCCAGTGCTGTTGGTCTTGCCATGGCAACTAAAAACCTTGCCGCGACTTACAACAAGCCCGGCCATGAGCTAGTGAATAACATGACATGGTGCATGGTGGGCGATGCTTGCATTCAGGAAGGTGTTGGTCTCGAGGCACTCTCCCTTGCTGGTCACTGGAAACTAAACAATCTCTGTGTTATCTTCGACAATAACTCAGTTACATGTGACGGAACTGCGGATATCGCCAACACCGAGGATATCAACACCAAGATGCGGGCCACTGGCTTTAACGTAGTAGACGTGTACAACGGAAATTCGGACGTTGCTGGTAAGTCTCGGAGCTCCTTTAACTTGGCGGTGAAAGCTCTGCTAATATACACCAGAAATCTCAAACGTTCTTCTTGCCGCTAAATCGAGCGACAAGCCCACCTTTGTCAACGTCCGCACCACTATTGGCTACGGAGCTGCTCAGGCCGGTACTGCCAACATACACGGAGCTGCGCTTGGAGTCGACGAAGTGGCTAACTTCAAGAGAAGATTCGACCTCAATCCTGACGAGCATTTCCACATCCCCCAAGACGTCTATGACTTCTTCAGTGAAATTTCTGGTCGTGGTGATGTACACGAAGCGCGCTGGCAAAACGCTCTGGTAAAGTATCAGAATGAAGACCCCGTACTGGCGGCTGAATTTGCGCTCCGTGTCGCGGGCAAGATGCCCAAAGACTGGACTAAATGCATTCCTCGCACGGAAGACCAGCCTACTACACCAACAGCCTCACGGAAGTCAGCCGGCGTCGTAACCAACGCCCTCGCCACAAGTATAAATTCATTCTTGGTCGGAACAGCGGATCTTACTCCCTCGGTCAATGTCTCCTACAAAAACAAAGTCGACTTCCAATCCGTGAGTACATTATGTTCAGACTTCTATTTCCGGTCTCAAAGCACGATCCTAATGTAGAACTAGCCTGAACTCCAAACTACTTGTGGCCTGAACGGAAACTACAGCGGCCGGTATATCCACTACGGTATCCGCGAGCACGCCATGTGCTCCATCTCCAACGGGCTTTCTGCCTTCAACAAAGGCACTTTTATCCCCATGACGAGCACATACTTTGTCTTCCACTTGTACGCCGCTGCCGGTGTGCGCATGGCCGCACTTCAAGGCCTCCAGCAGATTCACATCGCCACCCATGACAGCATTGGCGTTGGTGAAAACGGACCTACGCACCAACCCATTGCCGTTGCCGCTCTCTACCGCGCCATGCCTAATGTTCTTTACATCCGTCCATGCGATGCAGAAGAAGTGGCCGGCGCCTACATTGCCGCCATCCAGGCCACCGAGACGCCTACTGTTATCTCACTCTCCCGGCAGAGCCTGGCCCAGTACCCCAAGAACTCTTCGCGTGAGGGCACGCTCAAGGGCGCATACGTCTTCGCCGAGGCAGAGGGCGGTGATTTTGATGTAACCTTGATCGGAGTCGGGTCTGAGATGGGCTACGCGATGCAGACTAGGGAATTGCTTCTTAACGACCATGGTATTAGGACACGAGTCATTTCTTTCCCTTGCACTAGGTTATTTGAGCAGCAGTCGCGGGAGTACAAGCAGTCGGTTTTGAAGACGCGCGCTGGGAAGCCCACTGTAGTGATTGAGGCGTACCCTTCCAACGGGTGGGAGCGCTATGCTGACGCTTCGGTGTCGATGAACAGCTTTGGAAAGAGCCTTCCTTCAAAGGAGACATACGAGCACTTTGGATTTGCGCCGGAGAGCATCGCGCCTAAAGTCAAGGAGCTAGTGGAGGAAGTCAGGAGAGACGGTATCGGAACCCTGAGGGGTGATTTTAGAGACTTCAACGGCGGCCTGCGGATTGGTGTTGAACATTAGAAGATGTTACATAGTGTATGGATGACCTGCGTAATTAATGAATACATATATACCGGATTCAGGCCAGGCAAGATGACTGCACTAATCCCGCGACAAGGTATTAGGTACTTACCACAAAGCATAATCATCCGCGTACTGCTGTGTACTGGGTACTTGGATAACCAAAACATCAACTCAGCCATTTCGAGGGCCAAACAAGCAACGCCTTCACACCTTGGTAGGTTTTTATTTTCACACCAGCGTGGCTATAGTGCACCTGAACTTTTAATGGTGGGCTACATGAATGCACATTTACGGAGTACTGCATCTATAAGGAAGCGCCAAGATAGCCTAATTGCATCCCCGCGCCCTAACCCACATGACCCGCATGGACGCCAAAGCTCCGATAAAGGCGCCCCTTGAGAGGCGTTTTCTAACTTTTTTTTTTTTTTTTTGGCTTTTGCCTGAATCTGCTCTCTTGAGCTCTACAACTTTACGAGATTTGCAACAACGCTGCCCTATAGACCAAACATGCGCGGTCTCGACGAAAGCACAGACGTCTTTTTACGTACTGGCCAGAAGGCCCAGGAGCAAGTGCGACATGCTTGGGATGGATTTATCAATTTCGCGGCGCGGGATAATGTTCTCGAAGTTGCGTTGGGTTTGATGTGAGTTCTCCCTCTTGCATAATAACGTAACCACCCTGCTAACATATATATCCTACTTAAAGCATAGCTAATGCGTTCACCAAAGTCGTCACGTCTTTCGTATCGGACGTGGTACTGCCAATTGTCTCTTTATTGCCATTTCTGAACCGAAATATGGATCAGAAGTTTGCCGTCCTCTCCAAGGGTCCGAGTTTCGACCAGCAGTATGGGTATAATACCCTCCGCCAAGCCAGAGAAGATGGAGCACTGGTTCTGGCTTATGGGTATGTATAGTTACCTCCCTCAGCTACTGATCGAAGGTAATCTATGGGTTAGTTTTGACACAGGTTTATGCAGAGTGTTTATTGAGACAGTTCTCAACTTCCTGGGTGTCAGCCTCACTTTGTACGCGGTCGGACATTTGTACATGTGGATCTTTCACGACAAGATCATCAAGCCTACTGTCCGGTGTCCATACTGCAAGCAGTATATCGGTGAATCCGTAAGTGGTTTGACCTTATCTGTGCTTTGCCTGGGCTAATTGCTCAAAGGCGCTTCGTTGTCGCCATTGCTCAACGTGGCAAGACGGAAGGGAAGATGAGCCTAGGAGTGACAAAAGCTCTCGCGAGGAATTGGCTGATGCCGAGTCGAGTTTTGTTGGGGGAATCCCCTAGGTGGTACTAGATGACGGTGGACTTTTGTGAGATACAGACCTAGTGATACGGAGGCAGTTTCAGTATGCATTTGTAGTTGTTTGGCGAGTCTGATTACTCGCGAGTGGATGATTTGGTCTGCTTGATTGATATTGACTCACACCTAGGAAAAAGACCGTTTAATCTGTCACGGATGAATTGGGATTTTAATTAAATGTACAAGAAGCTCTATAATACAGACCCCAAAAATCCCAGATGAAATCTAATTGTTTATGTGTCTAAATCGACCACCATTCGAATTCAGTCATATCCTGTACCGGCAAAGTATGTTGCTTGCGGCGCCACGTCCTGCGGGCATGTTTGGTGAACTCCTCTGGAGGGGACCAGGCCGCCTCCCAGGTCTGAGGTTGTCTGAGAGTAGTTTTAGATTGTAGAATGCCAAAGCGGAAATCAAGTGCATCGACCGTGCCTGCAGGAGACGGCAGTCGCATGTAGTAGCGGACGCTGTCAGGAATCTCCTCAGCCACATGACTAGTCATGATCAAGGCTTGATCCTCCGAGAGACCAGTCCACCGGAATTTCGACTCCGTTAGAGAACGGGGTTGGGCATTAAGGGCACGGCGTTTAGGTCTCTCGCCAATTTCCAAGAATTGCAAGCACCTGTTACGCTGTGCTGCAGATAGACCTGAGAAAGCTTCGTCGAGGATAACAATGTCCGGCTTGGCGACAATTGCCCGGAGGAAAAGCACAATACGTTGTTGCGCGGTGGTGAGCTCACTGAAGAGAATTTCATCCGCGTACCCAACAACGTGATCCATTAATGCATATGTTTCGAGCCTGACGTGAGTCCGTTTCGTCATGGGCGGTAGGCCAGCAGTCGATATTTTTGGCACCTCGCTCGTGACGTAGTTTGGATCGAGCTGGGGCTTGAAGAAATGCAGGGCTGCAGATATGTCTTGATCTCTTTCAATGTTCAGCTTCGGCTTTGATAGGAAGGTCTCGGCGAAGGCAGTCTCAAGCGCTTCGCGGATTGATAATTGACGCGGGAAGAATGCATGGATCTCCGGTGATGAGTGTCCAATGCGGGACTGCAGTTCAAAGATTGAAATCCCTGGTTTGCCAGGTTCCGGAAGCCTGGATCGACCGAAATGTTTGACAGGCTGCCCATACGCCTGCGGATGGTCGGATGTAATCATTGATAGTAAGGTTGTCTTGCCTGAGCCATTGGGACCGAGGATCGCCCAGCGTTGCCCCCGACGAACTCGCCAGTGGAGCCCATCCTTAATTTCACCATTCACGTTCTGCTGCCAATCACCGAGTACTACCTTGTCCCCATACTGGACATGAACTCCTTCCATATCAATGACTGGCTCTCCGCCCAATGGCGCCTGTACTTCTGAGGACTTTATAGCAGTCGTATGCGCCACCAAATCCGTAAGCAGTTCTTGGTCTAAGACACCAGCCTTCAAGTCTGCTTTACATTTCTTCAATATTTGTGTTTGCTCTTCGGGCAGAGAGTCCGGCTTAGACTTATTTGCAACGTAGCTCCAGACATTGAGTGTGTCCTCGATAACCAGCCTCGGCCCTTGCAAGAGAACCTTATGGGAATTACCCACAACCATAATGTGTGTGATCCACTCCGGCACCTTGTCCTGGGGGCGCAGAGCCAGAACAAGCCGTGGGGCGTGTTTCTTCGCTAGCTGATGAAGAAGTTTAGAGATCTTTCTCACTGCCACCGGGTCCAATCCCACTAAACAGAGGTTAGAATGTCATAGCCATCAAATGTGAATTCGAAATACTCACTGAATGGCTCGTCAAGAAGTAGTAACTCTGGTTTGCTTAGAATCGCCTTTGCAATTCGCGCTCGACGGGTTTGACCATTGCTCAGACTCGAGACTGGCAGGGTGAGCAGATTTCCTAGTTCAAGACTGCGAACGGTCCGTCGGAGAAAATCCTCATCATGTAACGTGCCTTCTTCCTCGCCTTCCATTGGGTTCAGGGAAGTTTGGCCACGCAAGTATTGCAGCAGGGTCCAATCGGTTTCCTCCCGATAACTCTCGTAGCGAGCACTGAGGTATGCGCCACGGACTCCCCCAATAGCCCCCGAGCCCTCACCACTGAATCCAACATATTGGACGGCATTTTCCACAACACGTAACCGTGGGTCCTTGGCAGCGATCTCGTCTGTGAGGAGGTATGGATATGAACGTGCGTTTGGCGGAATACAGATGTGTTCGCCGCGGAGGATATTGAGGAAGTCGGTTCGGTCAGATGGACCAATGACAGCCCAGTGCTGCAAAGGTGCCGCCTTGGTTGAGCCGGGAGCGCGAATAGCGGGTAGAGTGAAGTTCAGGTTCGGGAATAGAGGTGGATTGGACGGGTCTTCGGCGGTTGGATACTTCTTGTAAAAAGTTCCATCTTGAATGCGAATGAACGGGATTTCGGACTTGAAACGGGTCGGGCGATAGGCTGTAAGCCGCAACACCCTAGGCCGCAGTTTGGTTCGGAGTAGCATCGTCATCTACTGGAAAAGTCACAACAGCGCGGAGATTGGAGATTCGGGGTTAACATTTTAGAGGTCACGTGATCACATGGAGCGATCCTAGATGAAGAAGGGGTTATATCGGAGCCCTGGAGAGATCTATGAATTGCTATAATATAGGTAAATTTGGTGTAGGATCACGAACGAAGTATTTTTTGCAATGCTTATCGAACTAGGGGCGATATAATCAGGACTTGTCTTTTTACATATATCATGTGCCCTGACTAAAGGTCCATTTTCCTGCCTCATTCCATTGTCAAATCAGTCAAACAATCTCAATAACCAATTCGCAAGACAACCTGAATTTTAATATTGATCATTTCTTAAACAGATACGTATGTTGTACATTCTCTCAAAGATTAAAGAACCTGAATTTCTCACGTGACTGTTCCGATCTTATCACATCCGATCCCGGGGCGGGATAGCTCTCTTTTTCGGATCTGCAGCGTGCGGGGTACAGCTTGATTGTTCGAGGTGTGCTTTGTACCCGTCATCTATTGAGACAATGTCGAGGCTGCAAGTAGTGGAGAGAGAAAGTCGGAACAAAATTAGCATGTCATTCTTATAATTGCCGCCAAGTAGTGGTATGTAAATCCCAACATAAGAGGTAAGCCGACGGGTAATGGGGCGGGTGTGGCCACCCGACGGCCAAACTCTCGGGAGCCGATTATCAGAAGTCGTCATGGACCCTTATATAGCCGGCCTACTCTTACCTCACTCTCCACAAGCCTTCTGCGCATCTCGTGCTTTGTAGTTACAGACTCTCCCGTGGCACCCTCGGCTCGTGTTGATCTGATATCGACGAAATCAAGGTGAAGCTCCATTCAACCAACATCCAAGTGCAGGTATCTACACAGAGAGAAAGAAGCAACATAACAGGCAGCATGTACTCTCCGGTTCTTGAGACTAGTCGAATTTTCTCTGAGCTGTGCGAGCAGTCGGAACGCTTCGACTTACCACACGAGGTCCTTGCAAACAAAGATCATGTCTCATTCTCTACCAGTCATAATGAAATCTACTTCCCCATTCCTTTTAAAGAGACCGAAACTCTCGCTGCCCTGAAAGGCATCGAGGGTTCCGTGGCCGCCGCCATTGCCGACCTGCGCTTTGGTGCTGGTGCGGAACCTCGGGGCATTCAAGTCAATCTCGAAGCTGCTACTGCCTTCGGGTGTCAAGCTTACATGGCAAAGGTGGATGGTCTATCAAAGTTGGACCCGGCTGTGAAATCCAAGCTGAAGAGTATGTATTTTGGTGTACACTGATTTATGAAACGACAAGACAATATTGACTGTAATAGATACGGATTTGCTGGCTGCCCAATCCAACGGCTACCGACGTATGTCGGCAAATCTTTACAAGACTAAGAACCCAGACGAGTACTTCCATATTCACGGCTCGCTGGATGCCACGACGACCTTGAACATGATTGGGCTGGAGGGCCAACGACCAGACCTGACTGACTATGAAGAAATCATCAAGGTCATTGAGAATAAGGTACAGCAATACACAGCTGCAGAGCTTGAAGAGATGAATAAAGAGAGACGCCAGGCTGGTGTGACTGCTTACAAGCATGAGGACTTCATTAAGACCCCCCATGTAAGTTTTACAGAGCGCCGTATTTGACTGCAGCAAGCAAGCTAATCCTTTGACAGGGAAAGCTCAACGTCGAGGAGCCTGCATGGAAAGTCAGCAAGCTGCCTGGTGATCTTCCTTCGACACCTTTTCCAGCTAGACGCAACGGCAGCAAGAAGATTCTCGAAGGCGTCAAGGTATTGGAGATGTGCCGTATCATCGCCGGCCCGACTGTTACCCGTATCCTAGCCGAATATGGTGCCGATGTTTTGAAGATAACTAGCCCAAACCTTTCCGATGTGCCATTCTTCCAAGTTGATGGTAACATGGGTAAGCTTGCAGCAGATCTTGATTTGAAGAGCGAGGCTGGACGAAAGGAGTTTGAAAAACTCCTGGATGATGTGGACGTTATCGTGGATGGCTACCGCCCCGGAGCACTGGATAAGCTTGGTTACGGAGTAGAGGCCATGGCTGCGTTGGCCGAGAAGCGCGGCAAAGGAATCGTCTACGTGAATGAAAACTGCTTCGGATACGAAGGCGAATGGGCTGGCCGTGCTGGATGGCAGCAGATCGCAGACTGTGTAAGTGATCAGATCCAATTTTCCGAGGACTCAGATCAATACTAACTGCAGCTACAGGTTACTGGAATCGCATGGGCCCAAGGCCAGTTCATGGGGCTCTCAAACCCCGTTGTACCCCCCTTCCCCGTCTCCGACTACGGCACAGGCTGCATGGGTGCCATCGCCGCGCTGACTGGCCTCTATCACCGCGCAAAGACTGGCGGCTCGTACCACGGCAAAGCTTCGCTTATGCACTACGACCTTCTCCTTTTTGCAATGGGCCAATACCCCGCTGATGTGCAGGAGGAGCTTCGTAAGGTGCAGCCGCCCGATTTCTTCAAGTTGCGTCACTGCGACAGCGTTGACCGCATCTCTTCAACTGTGCTGAAGAGCATGCAGGAGCGGTTCCCGCACCTGTACAAGCCTGCAGGTTCTGAGTCGGAAGGCCGCAAGCCATTGACAGAGCTATGGTCATCGCACGCATATGGTGCGGATATCGAGGTTGTGAAGCCAGTTGCAGTTATTGGCGGAGTGGATAATCAGTTCAAGCGGTCTAGTCGTCCGAACGGATTTGATCGGGCTGCGTGGGAGAAGTTTAGCGTCGAGGAGACAGATGCGAAGAAGTGTTAGTCCTTTCGGTGCCGTGTTCGTTCTTTTTCTTTTGCCCTTGAATGTGGGGAATACTCTGTACGTAGATTGCAATTGGACACTAGTGTCCGAGTGATCTTGAAACCAGGATCTCCGATGTTGATGCAGTATGGCCCAATAGAAGAAATCAGGCTTATCTGGTTCAAATGATATAAGGCACGTTGTATGTGAGATACCACTCGGATGTGGTTTTACGTCGTTTTTGTTACATATTCTGTCTTCGCGGTATTATTGGTGTAAGGATGATAATGAACTATGGAATCACAACTATGAATGGGAATAATAGCACAGGGTAGACTCTACATCAATATACGATGGCGATAAAAAGTATAAATGTACAGAAGACCTTTCTACGTATAACTACCGCGGATATTTCTCTCATGCTTCATTATTGATAGATTTAGTCAAGTGTATTAAGTGGGCTAATGTATGCAGCCCTCATGTGGGTACAGGATACCTCTTCCACCACCTCCAGAGCCTGATGGTACACCACCTTCTCTCGAAGCAGTCTTTCTCCCATTGCTTTGATAGCTCCCCAACCAAGAGTAGACTACGATACAAATTATTGAGGGAGATGCCGCATTTATCGACAAATGGTATCAAGAGCTCAATGGCTCTTTTGTGATTTTTTCTTTTCCGCTGCCTGTGCCAGCATTGACGAGCCAAACCTGTCGTTGGGGAGGGGATTAGGAGCTCCTTCCAGGAGTAGGCAAAGGGAAGTCAATTGCTTCTAAGTTTAGTACGTATTAGTTGCTGTCTGGATCGGCCAGAAACGAGGAGGTAATTCCACTTTGCCTATATCCGTACCATGACACAGAAGTACGTCAACGGTCGCTTCTGCCGCTTCAGGGTCGACAGCTTCAGCAGCATCTCCCAGGTAAGATCTGGGGCGGTCGTCGTAGTCGTCGCCGTTTTCGTAACAAGTCCCTCGTTCAGAGGCCGTGTAAGTCGGGTCAAATCCTTGATTGAGGAGATATTCTGTGGTTTTGAGTCTCCCCTTCTCATAGCAGATCTCATTGCACTCTGCGCTTCTTCATTACTGGGAACAGGTATCACACCATATTGACGCAGGAATTGAAGCATAAATACCCTTCCTGTAGCTGCTGCGATCAGTATCATTCTCACCCGGGCCGCTTCTAGGAATACTTCCAGTGGAACACCGTGGCCGAGCAGCCTTTGAACCAAAGCAACATTTCCACTCTCGATAGCCCACTCGATTGAGTTAAGCTTAGGGGACATGAAAGCCACTTGACAATCTACTCCTCGAGATAGGAGCATATCAAGTATTGTTGGAAATGACATAGCCGCAACAAGAGCAGGGGCGCCTTCCCAATCTCTACAATTCACATTAGCGTCATGCTTGAGCAGCAATGCCACCAAGTCGGTGTTTACACTCCCGCGAGGATGCAACTCCCATCTTGTTACTTTATTGGGATCAGCTCCTTTTCGAGAAGCGTAGCGCTTTTGATTGTCGGGCGCATGTCGCCTACAGCAGTTGAACCACTTTGACTCATGCACCTTCTGGATAGCCCCATTCATTAGGCCCCCGTTCATACAAACAGGTTCTCGGTCACAGTTCTCTGTAGACTTGTCCCAGAAATTCCATCCAGGTCCCGGCTCCCGAAGCCACCATTTTATTGGCTGGGGTCGTTCCTGGACTAGCGAAGCACCGAGGATGATATGGAACTAAAGTCTAGACCAGTAAGTGGAGTTCTTACCGAACCACTAAGCCCCACTGGACACTGGTTTCCCCAAAACAGGTTTAACCCGTTTTTTTTTTTTTTTTTGGAACTCGGTTTTTAGCTCTCTTATTTTGACAACATCTCATATTTTGAGAACCTCTTAACTACCTATGTGGAAGTGACCAGCTATAGATTAGCTGACCCATCTAATATGGGTCAGTCGGTGGATGTTGAGCAAGAGAGAATCCGGGATTTATCAAAGTTTGTTGCTTCCCCGCCCTAGGATTGCGATCTCCACTAACGCATCCCCCGATCTCAACAGATATTATTGTACTTTTGATCCAGTCTCTACAAGCTCAGACCCCGAACTACATGAGGTCCCACAGGATATATCCCCCCCTCGTCTTTCAACCGATATCACCTTGACGGCCCTAACACAACTGGGTGTCTATCGCTTTGGATGCAATCGGTCTTTTGTGTCAATCATCGACGGAGAAAGTCAGCATGTTATTTCGGAGGCAACCGCCTCGATCTCTCTTCGAAATAAAGATCTTCATCGCCCAGATGATGGCATCTTCCTGGGTGTAACTACACTTGACTTGGAATGGGGAGTGTGTCCCCACGCCATTCGACTTTTCACTGGACAAGATCCTTCCCGGATACTAGACACGGAAAATATAACGGCCAACCAGACATGCAACATCATTCGCGATTTTACCAAGGATGATTTCTACAAAGATCGCCCGTATGTGCTTGGCTGGCCTTTTTTTCGATTCTACGCCGAGGTGCCATTGTACAGCCCTTCCGGGTTCGTACTAGGCTCATATTGCGTGGTGGACAACAAGCCACGAACGAAATTTGAACATGAAGATGTGGCTGCTCTTCGGGAAATCGCCGACTCGATTTCAAACCACCTTGAAAATGCGCGGATCGTGCAATACCATCGTCGTTCGGAGAACTTAGTCAAAGGATTGACAAATTTCGTCAAAAGTCATTCGAAATTTGACCCCACTAGCTCCTCCACTCAAGGTCAGATCGAAGCCTCTGCGAAGAAGCTCAATTCTGGAGATTCGGGTCTCATAGCCACCCGAGGCGATGTGGGTGGAACGCTCGATTCTTTGTCCACAGAAGAGGATATTGGTGTCTATTCACCCCTTGATCAACCATCGTCCACAACTTTGAATGGAAAGGAAACCTCAGTATTATCTCGAAACATACCTGCCGCGTCAAACTGTACACTGGTATCATCGCTTTCTCAAATTTCGGACCGAGCTGAACTGCTTCCCCCTTCGGTAGAAGGACCCCCGAAATCATTACTGCCAGACAACGTGCCTCTCACTGAACGCATAGCTGCAATTTTTGCCCGTGCCAGTCTTATACTGAAAGAATCTCTGGATCTGGACGGCGTGGTCTTTCTTGATGCCCACCGAAATGACCCGCAATTGTTAGTCACTCTTTCTTTGGATAATCGACATTTTCTAACTCAATTTTAGCCAATCTTCTGGGAGGCATGATGATTGGGATGCCTTGTCGAATTTTGAGCCAGATTCTCTCATTGCTTCACGCGCGAGCCCTTGGGGTCTTCCTAATGCAAATTCGCCCAAAAATACAGAAAACTACTGCGGCTCATTGGGCCATGCTATAAGCTGCAGCTCAGCTAAGAGCAACACTGACTCGAAATTCCAAGTCAAAGTGAACGAAAAGTTACTGCATTCGTTGATCACACACTTTCCAGATGGTCACATCTTCAACATAGACAGCAGGAGTAATTTAGCCAGCCCTGTGGAGTCCGAAAGTAGCAATTCGGAGATCTCTGCTCCTAATACCGAAATAATTCAGGAAATCTCCCATCGTCTCGCTCGTCAGCTCCCTGAAGCTAAGTGTGTGCTTTTCTACCCTCTATGGGATTGGAACAAATCCCGATGGCTTGCAGGTACACTCGTTTGGGTCAACGGAAGCCATCGTCCCTTGGGCACAGAAGACCTGCACTACTTTAAAGCCTTTGGAGATTCTATGATTTCCGAAGTATCTCGGATACACTGGACCGCCAGTGAAAACTCAAAATTCGACTTTGTAACTTCTATCAGTCATGAGCTTCGCTCCCCACTACACGGAATTCTCGCGAGCGCAGAGTTGCTGCGTGATATTCCGCTTCAGACTGCGCACCGTGACATGGTGAATATGATCTCAACATCAGGACTAACCTTACTGGACATAATAGATCACCTGTAGGTTATATTCACGGTTAGTTGAACGAAACCTTGGACTGACAAATACTAGGCTGGATTACTGTAAAATCAACAACTTGGCAACCATGCAAAGTGTCAGCGTAACCAACAGTGAAGATTCTGGAACATCCCTTGTCTCCGAATTTAACCTCGACTCCTTGGTTGAAGAAGTCGCTGCGATCGTCCATACCGGCCGAAAGGTACCTGGGCCTATCTCCTCTCTTGCAAACGAAACAGGTATTGGAACGTCAGCCTTTCAACCTACCCCTCGTGTTACTCGACATGAGGATGAATTGTCAGTAATTGTGAACATTGAGCAGTCCACTTCTTGGAATATCCAATCAGTCGCTGGTGTCTGGAGGAGAATAGTCATGAATCTCCTCGGTAACGCAATTAAATGGACGCAGACCGGCCTCATCGAGGTGTCATTGTCACAAGGCCCAGTTCAGACTCAACCAGACACTCACCTTGTTCATCTTCGCGTTACAGACACAGGCCAAGGAATATCAAAAGACTTTCTTAGAAACTCGGCGTTCTCTCCATTCGCCCAGGAAGACGCCCTATCAGAGGGTGTTGGGCTTGGACTCAGCGTCGTGTACAAGCTAGTGACTTTCCTAGGTGGTGATCTCAAAATGAAGAGCGAAAGCGGAGTTGGTACCCAGGTCGATGTGTATATTCCCGCACAGCGTCCTAAGGACCATGTTCCCGCTAAGTTATTCGACGATGTTTCCTCGCTAGGAATTCAAAGACACAAGGATAGTCTGAAGGCATGTCTCATTGGGTTCAACAACTATCCTTACTTGACGGAAACGCCCGCTGGTATCCTGAGCTCCGATGCAAAACGCAAGCTTTCTATTCAAAGCACTCTCGCCAATGTTTTCATGGTACAACTAGGATGGCATACCATACTAGCAGAGTCACTTGAGAAGGGAGAGGGTGACATCGCGGTCATTGAGGAGACAAAATTCAACGCTATGTTGAATGACCAATCACCCTCAACTGCAAGTGCCGGCCATCATTTCAAGTTCTTTATTGTCTTGGCCAGCGCGACATCCCCACCAACCCACCCTCTTCCTCTGAATGCCATCCTGATGTCACAGCCGTACGTCCAGACTTCACCATTTTCGCAAATACTTAAGCTAACTCTCGATGCAGATATGGACCTCAGAAGATCTATGAAACCGCCCAAAGAATCATGGATCTGCGCGAGTCACAAGCTCAAACCAGCGGTCTTGAAGCTCCAATTTCCGTTCTACCAACAAAGCATGAAATTCTTCCGTTAAAATCTACCCCACTGAGCCTGCTGGAAACATGGAAAGGTCCTTCACAGCAACCTCCAGTTGAATTGGTCTCCCGAAGTCCTGTTAACGGGAGCGTGCCAATCCGATCGAATGGTCAAATGAACAATATGCATATTCTTATTGTAGACGACAATAATATCAACCTCCAAGTAAGTTGGCTCGCTGCAAACTCGGTTGTGCAAAGATTGCCCTCGCTTTCCCGTATATCATTACCCTAAATCCATTCCTTGTGATCTGACATATAAACATGAAACAGATCATGGCTACATTCATGCGAAAGCTTGGTTGTAGCTACAACTTGGCTTCTAATGGACTGATTGCATTGGAGCAGGTTGAAAATTCAAGTCGAAGATATGACTTGATATTGATGGGTTAGTTTACAAGTTTTCTGAACTCCCCTCATCCGGAAATTGCTAACTGCGTGGTCGTGGTTGTCAATTCTAGATTTATCAATGCCTATAATGGACGGGCTGGTTTCAACCAGCAAGATTCGACAATACGAAAAGGACCATGGTCTCCAACCCTCTCGCATCATGGCTGTTACAGGTGTCGCTTCGGATACTATGCAGCAAGCAGCAGTGACAGCCGGTGTCAACGATTATTTAGTCAAGCCACTCTCTCTCCGTAAGCTGAAGAAGCTTATGGAACCCACACTCTAAACGGATACCATGTCCTGTGACTACAACCGTTCCATCTGACAATTTTTGGAAGGCTGTTTGAAAATCCGCATTCAGCGTTAGCCTTCTCGTGATACCATAGCATAAGCCCCAGAAACAAAAAAACGAACAGCTCTACAAAGCTCATCCTTAATTAACAAAATTTACAATCACATCCATAGTTCCACCTCATTAATATCATAAGTAAAACGCCACTGTCCAATTTTCCATTTATCCAGGGCCAAAACTCTACACACACTCGTATACTCCCTAGATGTTGTCTCCCTTGATCCACAATCCATACAGACTGGTATTCTTTCAACATGATCCTTGACCCCACCCCACTAACGGCAAAATTTCACAATAATTTCTAGCACGGAATCCATAATTGACTCGATCTCACCCCTGCAAATCTCCTACCCATCCACCGAGCCTGATAAGGCACGCTCCCGCGAGAACCCCACACAACGTCATTCGTATTCGCTGTGCAACCTTGGAAGGATTCACCACGGCCAATCATCCCCCTATCCCAGCCCAACAATTAGGTACCCTAGCAGCGTTAGTTGCATCCCGTCACACAGATTCGGAGGTCGTCATACACCCCCCGACAGCCGTACGCCGTTAGACACGATTCCAACTACGCCATCAAATCATCAGCTCGGTACGCAGCTCTTACACCACGCCGGTGAGATTGTCGTGCTTAAGCAAGTGCAGCGTCGTTGGGAGACAGGCTAGTCTAGCGCTGATTGTTAGTATGTCTATGGCGAGGTTTCTTAGAGGGGTTTGCTTTTTTGCGTTGGCAGTCATCTTCATAATGCATATGCCAATCTGCCGTGCTCTTTTGTGGCGTCCATTATTAAACCTCGGGATACACTAATGTCCGTGGGTGGGTATGGGTTTCAAGGGGAATTTGGACATGGGTGCGATGTATATGTTGGTTAGGCTTGTGCTTACCTTACGTGGTTCGGACATTGCGGTGGGTTTGGTGCAACGTTCGAGATCGGGGATATATTTTTCGTTCTTGGGATTTGGATATTGAGTATTTGATTTTTATTTATTTTTATTTTTAGATAGACTTTGAGGAGAGAAATATTGTATATATTTGGCCTCGTATACTTCATAGTTTTGAGTACGGAGTCCGCAGGTATTCCCTGATTGGGTAAAAACAGCCGCCAATGTCGTAAATGCATGTCCTTGACCACAACTGACTAACTATACAACAATCTATAGTAAGGGATTTGTTTCTCTATATGCGAAAACATGAACAAAATCCAACTTAAAGTACATCACATGAAATATCAATCTTGACAGGCGAAGGTAGACTAAAAAAGGATGCAAATTTAAACAAATAATCTACTAGATGTAAACCTAAGCCCATATCACTATCACAGCCACTATAATTGGCCCCCAAACCTTCGGGTGGAGTAGGTTCGTATGTATTTGGAATTGTACGGCTATCACATACATGAACATTGTCTTTCATAGGGGTCAAGATTGTCATTGTTGCATTTTATAGGTTGTTTAAGGAGAACTTGTCTAACGGATACCAGCAGGGTCATAGCGCCGGATTCCAAATTCCCCTAGGAAGCACTGACATATGTACACAAACAGGGCCCCCCCTGAATAGGAGTCTTGCAACTCAACATCCCTTCGAAAGAATTCAAAAACAAAAACAAACAGTGTACCGCTAATGAACGCCGCGAGCCGGAGAGGATATATGGCACGATGCTCGAAAGATACAAACTCCTAAATCAGAAAAACAAACAAAAAAAAAAAACGAAAAGGAGCCGAAGAAAGCAACGAAGCGCAAAAGGCAGGTATGTACGGTCCAAAGACGGACAAATAACAATATCATGAATTAGGAATCAAAAATTGGGCCAAAGGCCGGGGTCCCTCGACATTCAAGCTCATAGACGATTCGCGCTGTCAGCACAGGGTTACTGATCACGCACACCGCTTCGGCGTTGAAGTGCTTGACCTGCTGCAGGATGATGGGCACCATGTTCATACGCCCACACTTGTCGGTGTCAAGGATGATGGGTGCTGAATCCATCTTGTGGACCATATGCATCACTCCGTCACCGTAAGTCTTTCGAGGCGCACGAGTTTGCCAGAGGATGCGCAGTGCAGGTCGGTTATCATCACCGAGGAACGAGAGACAGGGCCCGATGCCCGATCCGGTAGTGACGACTACCACTCTCTTGAAAACGCGCATGGCATATGCGAAGCCATAGATCAACACACCACGCTTCCAAAGATGGGTAGGCGGGTTCTGGATGGTTTCTGCGGTCCAGTCGCCAGCTTTGGACACCAAGGAAGAGAAACTTGGATTCCCATGGACACCTGCGGGATCAGGGTCTGGAAAAGTGGCAAAGCCATGCCAGTCGCGAAGCGGGTGCTTGGCTAATTGGATGCCCTTTCCAAAGGTGGTAATAGCATGGTCGAAATGCAGTCGGGTAGCGTGGGTCGAGAGTGGCTCGGCCCGCACCGCGACCTTTCGGAGGAATAGCCAAGGCTGGATGATGGCCGCAACCGTGAACATTAAGAACCAGAATGCTGGCAGTTCGATCAGGAATGTTCTAAGTGGCTGGCCCATGGACTGACTAGCGCCTCGTGAGAATACGAGCAATAAGGCGACAAACAAGGCCACGACAAGCCACCCCGAAAAACGGTGGGTGAGTTCGAAATAATCATGCCGCTTCATCCGGAAAACGGGGTGGGCCACCACGATTATTGCCAACAACAAGACCAAGATGACATAAGCTAATGCAACTGGCGCTGCTGAAATTCCGATTTCCGGACCATCCGCCGATGGTTTCCAATACTGGTGGGATAACACGCCGACGAATCCCACGTACCACACGAGGGAAGCGACTCCACAACCGCTATGAACACCACCATAGTGGTAAACCTTCGCAGCGATCCGACGGAGGAGAAGCGGCGCTGAGCGCGGCATCGAGCATACTACCACAAAGATAGCATTGACCACCAGTGGCTGGCGGGCCAAACCGCAAGCGAGCAAATTGGCAGCCGTGGCATTGACCAGGGCCAACAGTTTTTGTTCCGTGCTCATGACGTACACGAAGACTGCAACGTTGGCGCAAAAGACTAGCGTGAAAAGACGTCGGTATAGTGTGAGAATGGCATATCGGGTGGATGCAAACACCTTGGGTTTGCGCTGGGTGCTCTGTTGGGTCTGTGCTTCCACATCGAATTCCTTTGAGAGGTCGAGGTATAAGGATTCGGTTTCTTTGGATGCGGACTTCTCATTGCTCTTCTCTCCACTGGTGAGAGTGGCCTCACTCACAGTCGGCGTGTGTCGCGCAACGACCGCCTTTGGAGGCATTGTGATGGGGCTTTTCTCTGACATAACTATGATGGGTTCTCTCACGGTCATATGAAAAGGTTCAAAAGATGACCGGAGGTGAATGAACTAATCAAGGCAGGGATTCCTCGGAAAGAAAGAAATAGTTGATAATCCAACCAGGGCGAGTCCTCCATTTTTGAAGTGAAGCATGTTAACCTCAACTCTCTCTTTTTGGTTATTTTGTTTTTCTTTTTCTTTCTTTTTCGATCTTTTTCGATCCTTTTTTTTTTTCTTTTTTTCTTTTTTCTCTCTCTCTCCAAACTCCACCAAACGATCAGCCTCACATGCCCCCCTTCTGCATGGCTCCTGCCTTCGCATCCTTCTTTCCCAATCGAGTTTCATCTTTCCCTTTTGGGCGTCACCGGGCATCACCGCGAACGGTGACGCCCTTTTCCCATCTCCTCGATTCTATTCACCCAATCTGGTCCCTTTTTTATCCCTTTGAGTTTGGTTCTAAAAAACAGGAATCAATGCATTGCATGTGATCCTATTATTTTCCCCATTATTTTTCCCTTTACCCTTCTAGATGTATGATGTATGACACTATCACCTCCGGGGTCGAGACTTCACACTATTGCAAGTGGTTCTTGCCAATCAGCAATCAAAGAACCATCCTACTCCCTTGCTTTCAGCTGCTTTTGGTTCTTCAGATACACCTCGGGGAAGTGTCTGACGCAATCCCGACCCACGCTATAGCCTGTCAAAACTTTGTCGGGTCCTCCATCCAAAGGAAAGTGGCACCTCCTTTCGGGGATCAACCGGAAATGGAGATCAAAGAATGTGCTCATTGAAGTTTGATTGCAACCTAATTGACATCGATATCTCCACAAATAATTAACCGAGGACCAGTCAAGGTGAGGATGCACTCACTATCACGGGTCAAGTGCAACCTGACCAGGATCCGATTTGGCTAGCCATGATGGGATGCAAGCGCCGGATATGATGGGCCAGTGTACCTGATCATGCGGTCAAGAAAGCCTTCAATAAAAACAGCGGATCGGCGGCCTAGGGATGGCGTTTGACTGACCACAAGTCCCCTTCCACCGGATGCACACTCCAGGCGCCATCAACAATGCCAATGTGGATCTATGGGAGGTGTGGCGGAATCGTGCCATGAGTTAATGCAATAAGCCGCCGGATGATAGAGCAGTTCATGTTTGTTGGGATTTTTCTTTTTTTGCTTTTTTTTCCGACTTTTGTTTTTTTTTTGGTTTTTTTTTTTTTTTTATCAATGCGCGGTCGATCTTCAAGATGCAGCTGAAGGATGATTCTCGCGCTATGTCCAATTCCCGCCCCTCTCTTATCTCACAAGGTGAAGTTCTTACGCTGAATCCCCCACCCAGCGCCGAGGTAGTGGCAACCATGCACGGGTGCAGTACATAACCTGGGAAGTGGAGCACGGTTTCGTTAGCCGATTTTTAGTCGATCTGGATCTGGATCCGGGGAGGGGAAGCCGCTCTGAGATTCAGACTAACATGACTCCACAGGAAGAAAACAAAGAGGAGATGGGTCTCCACTGAATATCAGCTGCGGGTTTTGGGTATCTATTGGGGATATTGGGCCCCATAACCACCAGTTGCAAGTGGAAAGAGAGTGCATCCCTTCATGACATGGAGATGTCAGAGGCGAATGACAG